TCAGCCTGAGCAGCAGAAGCAATACTGTGCCTTGACATGGTAAGTACATCATTTAAAATGGTTGTACTCTCAGGCAATTTGTGAACTTCTGTCAGATTCAGAGACATGAGTAATAGTTGTAGTAGTAACAGAAGGTCTTACTGTCCTGCAATGAGACCTATGGTAGTCCTCTAAATCTGAGCTGTAGTCCAGGGCATGGTATACTCCTTGGTGGAGGGCAGAACACTGTCCTGCCAGTGATTCATGAACCAGGGCCTGGCTGAACAGCTGCTGAAAGGGGAAATGCCATCCTGCCTGAGAATCTAACCTCTTAACTGTTCCTGTTACCTGTTGCAGAGAAACATGATTTCTAGAGACATTTCTGGTTAGAACTAATCCTTGAGAACTCTGAAGACTTTTTAGCTCTCCTCCTGGAGGAGGGGGCGTCTATTCTGGTCCTCGAGGATTCATCTGCTGATCTTCTGGACAAGTTGGACTGCTCAGATTTCATAGTAGTTATTGTGGTAAAGCCAGAGTCTGTTTCAGGTGTTTTGGTGGCATAGTTACCTTTTCTCTTCTTGTCTTTGTTCAATTTCTTTATTGTCCATGTAGACATGGACCTGAAGTAATGAAAAAAACTCAAAATACTAGAATTCTTAAACATTTTAAGAAGAACCTAAGCCACCTTTCCTCAAAGAAGCATGGCACCATGACCAGAGCTGCGTGAGGCAGAATGAAACTGGGAACTAATCGGCTGCACTGATGCTGATCTAAAGAGAGGGCGCCAAAATATCTTCTGCAGTCTGACTGGTTGTCTCTAAGGAGAAAAAGAAGACAGCCCATCATAGGCTAATGACTCAGAAATACTTTTAGAAAGGAGTTTTCTGCATGGTGAATTAGGGGAGCAACTCCTTTCCTGTGAACAATTATAGAAGTTGCATATGTTATTCTCCATATTCACTGCACCATGGGTTGATAATATCTTTCTTAAATTGCATTACAAAACCATTTAAGATAAGCAGTAGATAGTTCTGTGGGTTAACACACAAGCCATTTACATATGGATACATACAGTCAAACCCTGGTACATGTTACACATAAAAAGTGAATTCACTGATTTCATCCTAGACCTGACTGAATATTTTGTCAAAATCACAAAGCCATCACGTAATTTGGCACAGTTCTGCATAAACATCAGTTTCTGCTAAAGAAATGTCCAGGAATAGAAAACCGGAGGAAATGCAAATTAAAATTCAGACACAATGGCTGTACAGAGAAGCTTGTATAGTACTTGTTTGTACTGTGCCTGTTTCCAGCCAGTGCTTTCAGTCTCTCATTTTTGTCAGCTAAAATCAACTAAATTAACCCTACAGGTATTTAAAATTAAAAACAAACACCAAGTTTTACATGTTTTTGTGCTGAGCTGTCGAATATTATGAGGACAAAGAATAATTTTAATAGCCGCAGGAGTAAACAGAAACTGCTCTTTGGCATTCAGAACAGTGAAAAACTATAGAAATTATTCCAGCCAGATGGGATGCACATTCCCCTACAGAAAAAATGTTACAACAGTCCAGTGAATCCCATTTGTCAGAACAGATTTTCCATGCACTAAAATTGATTACGTACAAAAATTAAAGTCTATAAAAATGTTATTAACAAAGGAATATGCCATAAAGAATACATTACCTATGGAAAAATAAATGTAACACTGACCTGTGAAAGAAATAATATCCTTTTCTGTACTAAATCAAAATGTATTTAATATAATGAAAACACACCATATGTAACTATTATAACACTTTAAATAGCATATTTTTTGTGCTGCAAGGACATTCAGCTCACACATTTTTATGAGAATGACAATTAAAAATGGCATGCAAGAATGACAGTCAGCTCAGTAACATGATTTGAAGCAGTTTGCAGTATCTCATGCACTGAATTCCCTAGAGTGGTGTGTTTTTCTTAAGCGATATTCCCTCTTCTCTGTCATTTACATTTTTGTTGTTGTTGCTGTTTCTGTATTGGTACTGGCAGCAATTTTAAAAACACCTTTTCCCAATGAATGGGATACAAGTTACTTTTGTCTTTGTTTATATGAGAAGCACATTTCCAAGACGAAGTAATGTAAATATGCTGCAACTCCAAAAGGGTCACAGGATAGGGCAAAAGTGCTGCCAAGTATTTGAGCTTTTGAATATATTAAAGATGGGCCTCTGGATAGAAATGCTTTATTTTTGAGGTATCAAAATTCAAATCTGGATATGAGTTTTACAGAGATGGCCCATTGCTAAAATATATGATAATATTAGTACAATCCTGCAAATCATAATTCTTGATGTTTTAATTTTTTCTAGCAGTCTCATTAAAGTTATATTTATAATTAATTTGGTAATTTATTAAAAGCCAAGTAATTTGCACCATAACAAAGGGGTTGTCATTTCATTTTCATAAAATAAGTGTCATGTTGTATAAACTAAATGTTATTCCTAATTCCAAAATGGAACATGAGAGGGAAACAAAGAAAATTGTGTGTCAATTGCTTACCTGTATTCGCCAAATGTTCCATCATCTTCTTTCATTGGCTGTATTTCTGGATCAGCATGTGCATCTTCCTTTTCCTTCACTACAATATTTGAAATTGGGATTTTTATTTTTAAATTTTAGGACTAAATATTTAAAACCTCTTGCAAAGTGACCTATGTGGGTGCAACTATTATGCATTAGGTTGGATCACTTTGGAAAACTGCAGCCTTAGATTGCTACCTCTAAATAAAATACATGTGTGGTAGTTTAATAATATTGTTATTGAAATGCATGATACTGTTTAAGGGTGGTGGTGAAAGTCCTTTGTTGCAGCCTTTTTTGAATATTACTTTTAAAAGGGACACTTTCAGATTTATGAAATGCATTTCTTTTCTAGGTTAACAGAAAAGTTAGATTGTTAAAATTTAAATAAATTAGTTTGTATTTATGCTGTTAATTGACTCTGCATTTCTCTCATACTAATAAATGAAAAAGATTAGTATTCCCTTTGGTTTATAGCCATTTTCTAGCAAATTTTCTTTTATCATCTTATCCATTAGCATAACTGCAGGAATACCTGGGGTACAAATAATGCACAAGATATGTTTATTTTTATTAGAAGAATGTTGACATGATCTTCTCAAAGTTAACTGTACTTTTCATAATAAATAAATCTTCTTTGTATATGGAGGCCCCGATCTGGGAAGCACTTAGATATTTAACTACCATTATGCATGTTTAAAACTTGTGCTATTTAACTCATGTAAAGACATAAACCATGTATTTGCAATATTGGAACCGTTGATACCAATGTGACAGAAGCCTAGGAATAACTACGATAGAAGACAGATACTTAAATAGTATATATGCCAATAAATTCTGGGAAATTATATTACAAATCTTACACATAAAAATACTGTTTCACTAGCTATTATTCTAATATGTTACACCCTGGTCTAGTAGTTAAAGGTATATGCTATCCATTTTTTATGGTATCCAGATAATTTTCATACTTATCTGGTACATATTTAGTTTATATTCCATTATTCAAGGTGATATGAATCATCACTGGCAGTATTTTCAGATGGTGTAATTATGATAATGCACATCTTGAGAAGTCACTTTTGGCTCTTACAATTACATATTGAAACAACTGATTTTTTTTTAAACACAAGCCAGTTCAGCATGACATGCTAAAATTGAAATACCCGAAATAGCTAGTAATTGTGTGCTACATACATCTCAGTTTATTTATGGAACTATACTTATTGCAGGAAAACGACACCATAGTGACTATCCAGACATATCTGTAGTTAAGTAATGCATTGAGTACAATTTATTCTGAAATATCTTTAGAACAACTGACGCAAAGAAAACTTCTAACTGGCTATTAGTATGTGATGTTATAGAGTCAATGTCCACTATGACTAGCTGATAAATAGGCGCGACTTCTCTGGCATATTATTATTTTTGTTTATACTGAGGTATATCCTACCTGGATATTTGCCACCCTTATTCCTTCTTATGAAGCAAACAATCAGCAAAATCAAAATAAGAAGAGCCACAGCACACATAAGGCCAATGAACCATCCTTGAGTAGCAATGTCAACCTGCCGGCTTGCCATTGCTGAAGAATGAAAGGGAAAAAATATTAGATTATCTGATACACATTTAAATGTTCATTATATTATTATTTATATAAATAATGTAAAATAATGTATCATTTATTATTTTAGTAACAATGTGGCAGTTAGCAATCATGAGTGATATAATAGCACTGTAAATGTAAGTGTTTACATTTTAATAACTGTAGGCTTACAACTACAAAAGCTTAGACTTGATCTCGACTATCTCTAAAGTTCCTGTATATTACTAATTTAAGTAATCATTTAAGTTTAACAATTCATCGTACACCACGTATATGACCTATACATTTATTCTATCACTTTTTACAAATTCTAAAACTGTTCTCAAACTTATCATGATAAAAATAAAAAAAGGAATTGTGTTTTATAACTTATACAGCATCACCTAAAAAAAAAGCAAATACTCTTTGGCTAGCGTATGCCAAATACACTAGGCAAAGGAAACAAGGAAGAAGACATCACCATTCAATTTAAACAGAAACAAAATCAGATTTGAGCACATGTAAAGTCTTGTCAGGATTCTGCTCTCTTCTAGGCCAACTATTATCATACAGTTCATTTCAATTGCCATGATTTAAAAACACTTGTTTAGTATCTGAAGTAGTAAGTGGCATGTGAATGGGCAGCCCCTCTTTGCATCTCTCTGTGCTGACTACCATGACTGCTGGGAAGTGACATTCAGAAGAGACCTCAATTATAGAGCAGACACAGAGAGCCCTTGTGCAGGGTTAGAGCTGCCATTCCCTGTGTATCCCAGAAATCTGTGTGGTTTGGATGCTGTGCACTCTGCTTCCTCCATACTCCTATCTTCTGTCACACAAATTGAGTTTTTTTTCCAGTGACCATAATGTTTTTCCACTCTCACATGTGAAAATAATGGAGTCAGCTGCTCTTAAAGGGAGAGGGAACCCTTGAAGGGAGACAGTAGAGGAGACATCAACTAAGTGGAAAACAGGAGGAGGGCATCCACCTACCACCAGCCTGTCCACTCTCTGCCACTCCCCTTCATAGAACTGCTGGCCTGGAAAGAGCAGTCTAGGAGATTTACATATATGTAATGATTAGTAGAAACACCAAATCCATAGGGTTGAGGAAGGTCCACAGGCACAAAGTTCCCTCTGTACACAGATGATGGAAGCATTTTTCTCCAGAATTCCCAGATTCTTCTGCTCCCCTTCATGTGGACCTATATGGCAGGGAGGTTTCCCAAAATTTCTATTGAGATCAATGGCATCTCACATCCAATCTCAGTAGTGATAGAAATGTAGCCGTGTTAAGTCTGGTGTAGCTGAAACAAAAAACAGGACTATGTAGCACTTTAAAGACTAACCATCTTGTTAGTCTTTAAAGTGCTACATAGTCCTGGTTTTTGTTCCAATCTCAGGAGAAACTCTACCTAACAGGGTCAAGACCTACACACGAATCTCCTTTGCTCTGCCTTTGTATGAGATGGGAGAGGCCACCTTACACATCCTGAAGAGAGTGCTCTGTATGTTTAGCTCCACCCAGGAAGCCAAAAGAGGAGAAGAGAAACAAGTAGCTATGCTTAGGTAGAGGACAGGTATCTTTGCCCCAACAGCTCTGCAGAGATGACCAGTGAGATTACCACTCTTCCACAAAGGAGATACATCTTTACGGAAAATCCCAGGGACACTTATGGATAGAGGAATTCCTAATACTGCAGCTACACAAGAACAGGAAATTCTTGCAGCCAGAATTAGGGGACACTGGGGTCCCTGAGCCAATATGAACACATAGCCTCAGGATGACCCTGGACTTGTGAGGATGCCCCAGATTTGTAGGCAAACTCAGGGACTGATTTTTGTTGTGTTCGCAGCCTTGGGGGGAGGGGAAGGGATACTCTGTAGTCTGATTTTTAGAAGTTGAATATACAGAAATAATTCCAATATTTCTATTAATATGCCTGACAAAATAAAGCAAACCAATTTTATTTCTTTTTTATATAAATTTAAAAACCTAAAACTTAAATATATTAAAATGCTGGGATAATATTTAACCCGACATTAGGAAAATATATAAGCAGAAAGGTAATCTCTCTCTGAATTTTAAATCACCCTATACCAGTAGTCTTATTTTCTATTCTTAGATTAGAGCGATTTTGCTTTTTGTAAACATGCATATATAATAAGGCATTAAAATTTTAGTAGCAAATGCTATAGCAAAACACACAAGCACATGTAACACTCACGTGTAGCAAGAAAATAGTATCAAACAAAACAATCCATGCATAAAAGCATGCAAGAGATGATAAGAGTAAAGATGAAAACTTACTTATGCAGCTTCTTGTATTCTTTGACTTATTGTATATCCAATAGGGAGGGGTTTCTAAAGCCCAGTATAACTTTAAAAAATGACATAAAATTTCCTGTTTACTCTAAACAAATTATCTGCTTTTGGCAGAAAGATATTTACTTCCGATGAACACAGAAGCTGCTAATATGCGAGAAAAAATGTAACCCATGATACTGGACAAAGGAGAAAACCACGCATTATGAAGATGCTCTATAGGAATGCTCTCTAGAACAAATATTGGTAGAGGCCTCACATGCCTAGCCTAGGCATCTTGCTCTTTTTCACCACTCCCCAATGTTTAGCAGAATTAGCCCACACATCAGAAAGTGACATAGCTAGATTATTTTAGAAAGAATTTTGCTGAACAAATCAGCTGATGTGGTAAAATCAAAAGCAATTATTTATATTGAACCTTTCCTTGGTCCAGGAACAGAGAATATTGCCTCTAGTGTTCCCAGACTTGAAAGACTCAAAGAATGGAGCCGAGATGTTCAACTTATTCACAGATACATGTAGGAGCCTAGATGTGTTGATATAGGCTATGTCTACACTGCTGCTTTTTATCAGAAAAAGGTATGCAAACTGCACTCCTTTTGTGTTGTTGGAAGAGGCTTTTCTGAAATTTGGCCCATCTACACTAGGACAAATTTCGGAAAAACCTCCTCTTTTGGAAGAGCTCTTTTTCCTCGTGGCACGAAGTAGTCAGGGCTTCCGAAGGAGCGAGTCTGCTCTTCTGCAAAATATGTCAGAAGAGCAGATGTGTTCCCTGGGTGCAGGGAGTTTTTCCGGGATACCAGAGGCATCCCGGAAAAACTCCGTAGTTTAGACATAGCCTGAAGTTTTCCTATTAAGCAGTGTTGACTGAAAATGGTTTGGTCTCTCCCCCCTGCTTTGAATAAGTTACAATACAATCTTTGCACTCTGCTGTCTGCTGGCTGTAAAGACACCTGAATTTATACTATTGCATACCTGTTTTCTGGTATCACTAGCCTCCCCTGGATAAAAAGTTACTATAAAAAACCTTTTACTGAGACTGCAAATGTTTGTGGGGCATTATTATTTCCCCTTATGTTTCAAAAGCTTTCCTATAGGAACACTGTAATAATATGAGCATTAATGTGCTATAAACATAAAACAAAACAAAACATTATGATTTTAGAAAGTGAACGCTTGTTCAAACTGGCATGTTAATCAGTTGCTCTGTGATCTGTAGGATCATTACTTCACATTGCTCAAAGTACTTTATGTATTAGCAATCTGTTTTCTTAAATCATAATGTTTGTGTAGTAGGTGAGACCAAAGTAAGAGCTGTTGGATAACTATCCATGGGCCACATTGCCTGGAATGAAAAAGAGTGGCTAGCAAACACACACCAAACACTAACGTTTCATAAAGAACATGCTGATATTGCAACACCATATTCATCATGGCATCAATACGCGCCTAATAATACCCTTTCTCTGAATTAAATGAACAGACACCACTTATTCTTATATGAAGTCACAACTGCTGAAAACTTTCTTGGACTAAAATCTATTATTTTTCTATGGAAAATATATATGGAACACTCAAAATACTTAAAACTGTCTTATTCATTATGGTATTTTGTTGTTTAAGTGATATAAAATCACCCGGAAACAAAAAATTGATTAAAAATTATAACTAGAGATCTGCTTATTTATTTATTTATCACTCATTCCACTGGCATATAATATTCAGTGCTTACATGAAATATTTACTTAAAATCAGATACCTAAACTGATAACTCATAAAAATTTTAGATCATGTTCCTGGAAACTAAACTGCTGATATGGAGATTGTTAGTTTAAAAATAGGTATTCAGCTGTGTTACCATGTTATTTAAATATAGCACAATAGGTTCTAATTCCATTAAAAGATGAATTACAAACAAACAAAATATTTGAGTTTAAGAGCACAGAACACAGAACAAATGTGAACAGTAAGTGTTTTTGCCCATAAAAGTGGCAGGGAAACCTAGTGAACTAAAAGGACGAAAACATTCATAGTCTACAAAGTAGATATGCTGGCATGCCTAGAAGTTTACAGTAGAGTTTAGCACTACTGAAGAAATCTATATCAGTATGTTTTATTTACAACATCTCCCCACTGACAGCAATTCAATATTTCTGCACTTGGCATATCACAATTCTGAATATGAGACAGAATTGGTATGATGTGCCTCACCTGGACCTGTCTCAAACACATCCTCTGAACTCACAAAACCAGACAGACCCTCAGCACCAACCCGGACTTTATATGCCGTTCCTGGTGTTAAACCCTTTAACACAAAGAAGCTCCGAGAACCATTTACAATTTCTTTTTTCCAATCTTCTTTGCCTATAAAAATTTTAGGAAAACAACAAGTTGGAATATTTGAAGTTACTATCTGCTACTCTATTATAATAAGAACATTTTCTACTGTCAGTTGGCTAAACTTGAATTTGTTGAAAAAAATAATTGCTTTCTCCAAAAAGAATAAAATTTTAGAAACAATAATGATTGTCAGTACTATTCTGCATGCATATAAAGAAAAAATACTATCTAAATAAAAACGCTTATTGTATAGTTGAGTTCCAAAGCATTACAGATAATTATTTGGCATCTATTTAAGTAAATATGTTTGCATTTGCAATTATAGGTCATATAAAGAAAACATTTATTCACTGAATTTGTTAATATTGCTGGCACTTTTAATCAACCTTTACTTTTGCTGAGAAATCTCTTTAAACTCTGAAGATGATGTGGAAATAGTTCCTGATCAATCTGAATGTCTTCCTTGCATTTGTGTACATATTTTCCTAAAATAATCTCAAGTGATTCTAGGCATAGTTCAGAACAAAACTTAAACCTAGAAGACTTACAATTACAGTCAAACCTCAGAGTTATAAATATCTCAGGACTGGAGGTTGTTCATAATCCTGAAATGTTCATAATTCTGAACAAAATGTTATGGTTGTTCAGTTGTAAACTTTGAAAGAACAATGACTTAATACAGCCTTGTAACTTTGCTATGCAGAAGACAAATGCTGCTTTTTAATCCTCTTAATTTAAATGAAACAAACACAGAAAGTTTCCTTAACCTCTCAATCTCAAAATCATAGAATCATAGGGTTGGAAGAGACCTCCAACCTCCTGACCATCTTTTTAAGCTATTTTATTTTTAGTAGATTACATTTAATACAGCATTGTACGGTATTTGTTTTTTGTCTGTGGTGCTACGTGACTGATTACTTCCAGTTCTGAATGTGTGGTTGACTCTGAGGTGCTACTGTACACTATCTTTAGCATTTTTTCGCCACTTTATAAGGACAGTGTACTTGCAGTACATCCATTTTATCAATCCAATGTCTTAATGTTAAAGCATAATGAGAATTAAATCAAACTGTTCTTACAGAGAGGTTAGCACATTATTTTTGTTATTAACTGCATGCTAATGAGTGGGGGAGAAGTCTGTTGTTCCTAATATGTCTTTTGGTTGATGCTATTTCACCTATAACATCAGATTTGTTTTTGTTTGGTTCTTTTTTTAGTTTGATATATGCATTCTTGCCACTGCAATTTTCTTAGGTCATATAATAGAAATACCATGATATAGTTTTACTGCAGGATTGTAATCACTGCATGATCAATAGCTTCACTCACTTAAAGGTAGTAATAGTTCTTGTTCATAAGTGTTGAAGTAATACAAGGAAACAAACGCTTATTTTCTAAACATCATCTATCCTAAAGAGCAGGAATCTATATTACTATATTAATGTGACTCAGTCTGATAGGTTAAATTAAAAGATATTTTTCTAGACATTTAAAAAAATATCAATGAAGCTAAATCCATATATGCCAAATTCAGTTATTAGAATATTTTAAAATATATCTCAGAACTTAGAATAATTAAATGAAATGACTTCTTACTGCCTGCTACACCATATTCAACATAAAAGTTCACATGATCTGGTCCCTCATACTCCCAACTGATATTGGCATAGGACTCAGCAGCAGATGCAGTAACATTTCTGATCCTTGGATATACTGGTCGCACTGAATACACAATAGAAAAAAAAAGCAAAATATGAAATTGTGGCTCCATGCATATAATAGAATCTAACTTAAGAAATTACTGTGCTAATTTGGACCACATATATGGAATGCACAGTTCATAAATACTCATTGTTTCCATTACTGAAAATTAGTGACTAAGTTACAGCATTAGCAAATGCAGAAATTGAATAGCAGGTAGTCACTACAATATTTAATTAGAAAGGAGAACTAAGTCTACGAACTCTACTGTACATGGCCCATACCACTAAAATTGTCAAACACTTTGAAATACAAAAAGGCCAAAGCCATGGAAAATACTATCTTTTAAATGTCTTGAAGTACAATGCAGACAGCTGAAAAGTGAAGGGAATCTTACAAGTCACACAGTACTGGAAACTGTAGAAGAGGATGTACTGTAATGCAGGTACAACATTTTCTTGATTATATGTGGTATTCCACAGATACTGTTTATTCCTCACTGCAGGACCTGCATATAATTTTTCTTTTCAACTGTCTCTACTGAATTTATAATGATAAAAAGGATCACAGTACCCTTATAGAATGTTGGATGGACAGTATGTATGACAGGGAAGGTTGCAAAAAGGGTTTCTGAATATCCTGCATCACCAGAGATAGTAGGAAAAGAAGAAACATAAAAGAGTAAAAACAGTTTTACATAAGAAAATGTTTCAACAAGACAGCAGACAACAGAATCTTACCTTTTAAGCGAACCAACACATGCATACTCTAACTTCATGCAGGTTTCTTTATAAATAATTTTATTTGATAAAATATGAAAAGGACAGGGTAATGTAAATTACTCTGAAAGCAGCCAGATTACCGATGTCCTAAAACCTAACGTTTATAGAAGAACATTTCTTAAAGAAGCTTACTTAACACTTTTTACTTTTATTTTAAATTCAATCATCAATTGTTACCTTCCCTTTCCAAAATAAGCAATTAACTTTAGATTCTAGTTAATATGTATTAATTCTAACCCATTGCTGAAAAGCAAATAATGAGTATGCAGACATGAACTTCAGGAAAAAGAAAAACAAAAAACAAAAAAACAAGAGCCATACAATGTTGTTTGCTGGTTCTGGAAAACTGAATGAGGATAATCTATATACTCCTTGAGCATCTTTGGGAGACACTATATTTTTCTTCCTTGGATTCTAGGATTTTTATTTTCCATTTATTTTGGATAGCTCAATTTTTGCTGTACAGCCTCAAAATACCTAGGAACTTGATTTCTGAGGTGCTTAGCACCCACAAAGCCCACAGATTTCAATGGAAACTGCAATGCTCAGCGACTAAGAAAATCAGAGCCTTCATGTTTCAAGCTGGTAACTCTAACGTTGAGTGACCCAAAATAAGTGGACACACTTGAAATGGTAGGTTACATCATCCAGGTTTTATTTCGGACCTTAGACATATACAGAAATATAGCCAGTCAATTATACTAAATCAAGACCCAGTTGAAAGTTGATACTTTTTGTTTCTGTCTTTGAAAAATATGAAGTATATGGCTCAAGAAAAAGAGAAACAGAGGCTCAGCACTTCAAAAGCTAACATGCATAAAAATGATTGTACTTCTTGAAAAAACAAGGGAGATCCACACACTGGTGTAACCATTACCAAAATATTCTGGTGTGAAGGATAGGAATCAATAATTTGCAAAGCTAAGAAAGATTAATTGAAAATAGTTATGGTATTATCTTATAAACACTGCCAAAAAGACATTCCCCTCAAAATGTGGTGCTTTCTCTGAATACAGAGAAAGCATGACTGCAATGAGCAAGACAAGTTTCGCTTGGACCTTTAAATAGCTATATATTGGCTCATTTCTTTTAAATAAATACATTTACATTATATTCAGTTGGCTAACCATAAATAGAAACTGGTTTCAGTATTCCTGCTTGCCCAAGATAGGTTCTTTTTCACTACATATATAATCCCCAAATCTATCCAATGAATTCATTAAGTAGTTTTCCTTGAGAACAATGCATGAAATGTTGGGTTTTTGTGTGCAAAATCTATATATTTTAGAAATGTGCACCAGTTTGTCTGTCTTGTCGCTTTTGAGTCCATTTGTTCAAGAATGCCTCCTAAAGGATAAGAGCCAGGATCACAAAATTTGATATGCAGCTTCCTCTTACCCTAACTTAAAGCAAGGTTAGGGTTTTGTTGAGCCAGGACAACTGAAAGTGCCTGGAATTTGATTGTTTCTCATAAGGTCTGCTAGGAGGGAGTTACACTGTGAATGACCACAAGGGGTCAGCAAGCACCCCAGCAGGAAACCACTGCTTGGCAGCCAGGGAGCAGCTGCCTGCAGCTATGCAGTAGGGATGTCAAAGTGTAAGTGTGTAAACGGTTAACTGATGAGCTTCGGCTCATTAGTTAACCTTCAGTTGCATGCAGCCTCCCCCTGTGCTGCTGCCTCTGTATTCTAGGCAGCACCATGGGGGTGGGTGGGAGGCAGGCCAGCTCCCCGTGAGCACCAGTACTGCTGCCTCTGATAAAGAGGCAGCAATGCATGGGGGGGATGCGGCTTTGTGGGAGCCAGTACGTGTAAGGAGATGTCTTAAAAGTCATCTGCCCTCATGCACTGGCTCTCGTGGATCTGTCTCCCCTTGTTGCATGTACCCACAGAAAATTTTCAAATTAAATCTAAAAAGCATGCCAGCCATACACTGAAGAGAAATATGTTTGTGGGTGCTCTGTTCAGAATGAAAAATAACAGTGAAACATATTAGAAAATGTTACCATCATTTAAGGAACAGAAAATTCGAAATAATTATTTTTCTCTGCAAAATTATTAATAAGGTTCATTATTGAAAGATACAGGCTCATATGTAACACATCGACCTTCCACACCCAAGCCTGTAAGAAGTCCTGTTCATCTAACTTGTGCAAGTAATCCCAGGAAAGTGTGATTGGAGGTTCATACTTTAAATAGTTAACATTCCTTCTGCCCCCTCCAATAATTAAAAGAGCAAAAACAAAAAAACAAAAAAAACAACCCCCAGGGTGTGGGGGAGCCAGGGTGTGTCTAGACTACAGGGTTTTTTTGAAAAAAGTAGGCTTTTTTAAAAAAAACATCACTTGCTTCTAGACTGCAGCCACGTTCTTTTGACAGTAAATCGAAAGAACGCAGCAGTTTTTTCGATCATGGTAAACCTCATTTTATGAGGAATAATGCCTTTTTTCAAAAGTACACTTTTGAAAAAAGGCACTATTGAATGCAAACTGTGCATTTTCGAAAGAGAGCGTCTAGACTCTCTTTCAAAAAAGCGGCTCACTTTTTTGAAAAGTCTGCCTCGAAAGAGGCTTGTAGTCTAGACGTAGCCCCACACAGTTTCATTGTAAGGTTCGAATTACACTCTAAAACTACATTTCTTGTTTTATTTTCCATAGAATGCTGAGGTCAGTGTGATTCTTAAAGGTCAGCAAATCTGAGTTTTATTTAGTCTTTTAAAATTATCACCTATATCTTCTTGCTGCTGCTTCGTTTGTTTGTTATTTGTTTACTGGGCTAACACTCTTCCCCTTCTATGTCCTTTCCACATCTTAATATCTCCAAGAACAGAAGAAGCTACTACTCCAGAACCGTGTTTACATCACAAAAGTATACAAAATAATAAGAAAGAGCTGACAACAAGAGAGTCCTGACTGAAATTCACATCTTACATCTATTCATAAATGGACAAAATTTATTTCCACTAAAACAAGACCATGCATTTATTCAGCTTAGAGCAGAAGTAGTTCCTGCAATATCTCCTTAAATATCACCTTAGTAAAACATGCAATACCCGAACAGCCATTGCAAGAAATAATCTGCTGCACCATCATTCTGAAATAACAGATGAACTCATTTAGGACTTGATGAAATGACCACTGAAGTCAATGGAAAAAATCCCTTTGACTTTCGTGGGTATCAAGTCAGGTCGTTAAAGAGATGGCATCTTTTTTAAATTAGAGGGGCTTAAAATCTGAAATGCCCCATTTCATACTGTATATTTAGCTGCTAGCTGAGAGAAAATTACAAAAAAAAAATCTTTAGGGATCATGTTCTGTGTAATCTCTCCAAAATCTGCAAAGCAACTAAATGATTAAAAAAACTTTTAAATTAGACAATAATTTAAAATAGTATTTTAAGACACTTTTCCCACAAATCCTTCTAATCAGACAAGCATTGAAGAGAGAGAAAGATTCTCGTGATAAAAGATGAGCCAATCCCCAGACTTGCCAATGAGGAAGGGTTCTTTGCTATTCATTTACTGCTGTTAAATCTGGTCTAGTGCTTAGGTTTACTCATTCTCTTATTAGATTACTGCACAGCCTAATAATTTCCATTTCACAGATTTTTTTCCTGATACTTGTATTACTGTTTTATTTTCTTCACTTCATCCCAGTAGTTCTAGGTAAATCTCTCAGTACTCTATCAAACTACACCACTATTCTTCTTCCTCTCATACTTTTTGTTTCTCTCACTAAAGCTATACAGTATATAAAACATACCAAACTGAACCTTGACCCAAAAAATCTGGATTAAACAGGTTATTTAGATTTCAAAATCAAGTATTCAAAGTTAGCAGATGCCAGCTTTATTGTTGCCTGGGGAAAACATAGCATGTGATCAAGTAATTAAAAGCCATCATAATCAAAGGTGCAAGTAAGCTGGTGCACCCCAGTGTGGCGTATCAGTAAGACACAGGCCGACTGGGGCGAGCCTCTGGATGCTACCAGCAATCTGGGCAGCACAATTCTCGCCATCCTGGCCAGCCCAGGGATTTGGCAGTTGGACAGCACAGTCCCTGCTGCCCCAGCCAATCCCGGGGATCTGGAGGCAAGACAGTGCGGTCCCCACCATGCTGGGGGGGGAGCCTCTGGATGCTACCAGCAATCTGGGCAGCACAATTCTCGCCATCCTGGCCAGCCCAGGGATTTGGCAGTTGGACAGCACAGTCCCTGCTGCCCCAGCCAATCCCAGGGATCTGGAGGCAAGACAGTGCGGTCCCCACCATGCTGCCCTCCAGTGGCTGGGCAGCGTGGTCTCTGATGCCCTCAGGGTCCATCGGCTAGGCATTGTGGTTCCTGCCACCCTGGGGATAGTCAGGCAGCATGGTGTCTGCACTCTGATCACCCAATTCTCCATACACACCATAACCCCCTGCCTGACTCCTGCACCTCCAAACCTTCCACATCCTTGTTCTGATCTTCTCCTACACCCATGACTGCCTTGACTCCCGTGGTCTCTGATGCCCTCAGGGTCCATCGGCTAGGCATTGTGGTTCCTGCCACCCTGGGGATAGTCAGGCAGCATGGTGTCTGCACTCTGATCACCCAATTCTCCATACACACCATAACCCCCTGCCTGACTCCTGCACCTCCAAACCTTCCACATCCTTGTTCTGATCTTCTCCTACACCCATGACTGCCTTGACTCCTGCTTTCCTCTCTCTGAGCCCCCCACACCTCCCAACCCTCTGCCCTGACTTCTGTACCTCCACACATCCGTCTTCTGCCCAGAGCCCCACATACACCCCAGTCCCCTGCCCTAAACCCCTGGCACTCCATCCCAGCAGCAACTGGTGACAGAGGAAGGGGGGGCACTG